CGAGTGTCGGGAGTTTTGGGACGCCCGGGGGAGGAATTAATCGCTGGCATTCCGCGGTCTATGGAATGGTGTTCTTGATGGCGCGTTTGGAGCCTTCGGATGTTTCGAGACGCGTGTGTAAATTTTGTAATGTTTCGATACGAAGCGGTTTTTCGCGCGTATGTTTTATTGGATTGGTTTCTCGCTTGAGAGCTGTATAGGGGATGCTTGTCCGAATTTCCTTCGTAACACTCCGATACCGGTTTAGAAACGTCATCCACTTGTTAACCTGTTAACTGGGCTTGCGCAAGTGCGGAATTTCAGTCGATTAAAAACAACTTCGCATGGTTTCACGGGAAAAAAATGGAGAGAGAAGAACGCGCACAATCGGACTCGATTAAAAACTATTTCATACATTCTTCTCGACTGCAGTATGAACAAATTGAAACCGAATACAGTCCATCCGAAACAATTTCAGCGATAAAAAAAACATCAATATAATGTAACTGATACCAATACTTCGGAAGCCAAAAAAAAGAGGATCGACCAACGGAATGCCAAATGGAAAATCAAATTTACCTCTCTTTAACGATACATGCTAACCCAATACTCGCAGCTCCAATAAACAGTGCATACCTCCAATCAAGCGAACAAAAATATTGTAAAATCACTGCAACCTTTCTCCGAAAGAGTCTCCTTTAACCTAACTCGTCTTTCCCAGTTAGAGAGTTAACGATCCTCGTTGAACCTCTAAAAGTTGACCTCTAGAACGACTATCCTCTTTGAATCTTCAATACTAGATTTACTGACATTCACTGTACAGTTTGTTCTATTGTTCTCAGAGAAATTGTTATCCATCCATTCAGATTTCAGAAATGAAAGATCTAAGAGTAGACAATTAGGATGCATAACTGCGTTAATAATAGACCCAAAAATTTACCACAAATGCTCATCGAATTCAATAAGAATCAAACTGTCTTGTTCCGTAAATCTAGCGTTAAATGATTCCTATAACATCCGGAGTGTTCACAAAAAAAGGATAAAATAAAGAACGACTAGCGATCCTCTTCGAACCTTCAATACTAGATTTACTGTACAATTTGTTCTATTGTTCTCAGAGAAATTGTTATCCATCCATTTAGATCTCAGAAATTAAAGATCTAAGAGTAGACAATTAGGATACATATTTGCATAATTGCGTTAATAATAGACCCAAAAATTTACCACAAATGCTCATCAAATTCAATATAAGTCAAACTGAGGTAGTCAACGTTGACGAAGTCAAACGTCCCGTAAATCTAGCGTTAAACGATTCCTACAACGACATCCTGAGTGTTCAAAAAAAAAGGATAAAATAAAGAAACTGACAAGTTCGTATCTTCCGATAGATGGGCCCTAAGAGGCGCGTATCGGCAAAGGACCGCATCCGCTGAATTATTCCGCAGATTACTCCAGCAACAAGGTCTATCGCGGGCCATTAGCGTCCCCGGAGGAGCCAATCAAACCGGCTCGGCAAAAAGACGAGCGGATCCGGGGGCGTTCGCTCGAGGATCATTCCTCGAGCGTGGCTTCAAAGCCTCGCCGGGAGGAGAACGTTTGCTTAGGCGTGTTCGCCGAGTCCTCGGAGCT